TTGTACGAGTTTTTCTGTTAAGAAAAGGTACGCTTTAGAGCTGTTMTATTTTCTTAGTAGTCCGAAAGTTTTCATCTTTCTCCCTTCTCGATTCTTTAAGTAATTTATGGAATTTAAAGATGAGAGATTATTCATCAAAGACTTGCATGTGTCTTCGTTGGGATGATAATCTGTGACCCATGTTCTTTAATCTCTAAGAAAAAAAGAGAGAATCCTTGCATGTGAGGTCTGATCATATTTTTTCGGATGATAGGTTTTGCATGCATCTTTAAATCGGATTTCTCATCTTGTAAATTCGTTGGAATCAGAATTTATTTGTTTTCTTGAGTTTGTTAGAAGATGATGATTTTGTGTTAGAGTTTAAATTCTTGAAAATACTGAGCTTGAGACCCCTCCCCATCATTGCTACCATTCTTGGTGCATGCAATCAGTGTTGGAGGCGTGTGGCTCAAGGATTGTGGATTATTCTTGAAAAGAGTGGTAAACCCACTCAAAATCTCTTGGTTTTGGTAATTGGCGGCTGCCGTCATTTGTTTTGGGATGACATTTAATGATGTCATTATTTGGATTTTGGAAGGTTCCTTTTTAATAAATAATTAAAATCGGCTTTATTTTATAAAAACACTTGGTGGCTTTGCATTTAGATCAACTTTGCTCTACCTTAGCCAAGGAAAACCGTAAGTAATATAGCGCTGGTTGGTCTGTCAGGAAGTTCGAGCGAGCATAGCAAGTCCTTAAAGGAATCATTCGGATAATCGCCAATCAACTGAGTTCTCACGGCCCCACTTTTAATGCTTTTTATATTTTCTGGGGGAAAAGCATGAAATTGAGCAAACTTTGCATGTTTATGTATTTGAAATATTRGGACTAAAGAACTGTTTAGTCGATGCTTTGCTCAAAACCGTTGGGCTAAGGAACTGCTTAGTCAAGTTTTACTTGGAACCTCTTGGGCTAAGGAACTGCTTAGTCGGGTTCATTATGTTTTGTTTTGACAATCGTCTCCGCACTTAGAATAAATGCTAAATTGATGCGCTTGAGAGTATATGTTTCCARATMAAAGTCCCCGTCCGTACACGCTACTTGTTAACTCGGGTACATCCCCGGGCCGTGGTATTGTGGATAGCCGCTATTGTGTTGACAGTCCCACCCAGAAAGTGGTACACAATTACCTATGTTTTCTAGCTTAATCATGTGGAATTTTGACCACCGCTAAATTAGTGCTTTATCGAACCGTGGGACCTAAGTAGTGAACGGGCTACTTCTGGTTGTTCGAAAATTAATGRGGCATATTGGTCAGGAAAGGCTCAGTAGCGTCTCAAGTGTT